GAATCCCCCCCCCCCCCAGGCCCGTAGCCAGGTCATTTCAAGGGGGTTCTCTGGGCGTGAGGTCCAGGGAGCCTGCCTAGGGCCCCGGTGGCCAGAGCAGTTTTTGTGTTTAATAGGTCTATATAATGTTATAAAAGCAGTTATGTTTTGAAAAGGATATATGTAATAAAAAGGTGGTAATATAATATAATTAGAAAATATTTTCTGAGAATTGGCATGTTTACGGTAAATCACACCGAAAAACATTAAAGAACACATTTATTATTATAAAACAAAAAAAGGCTATTCTTCTTTCTTCTTCCTCTCCTATACTTCTTGTTCTACTACTTATTTACTCTCATTTTGTACTCTGAAAATTATAGTAGGCCTACTATTTTACTACATATATTCTACAAATCTACAAATATTGTCATTACTACTGACAGGGCCATCGTTAAATGAAGTCAGAGTAAAAAACATAGTATCATATTCAATACGTCATCTAACATCATGGGAACCAAACTTTAATTTTAAGTTCTTAATTGTTCCAAAGGTTGTGGGCACCACTTGAGGTGTTATGGCGCACTGTAGATGTGTATAAGAGACAGGGTCAGGACCCATGATCCCCTCCTCCCAGATCCGCCAATGTGAATTGCGAGAAAATGTAACTCGGTCGGGTACTGGATAAACATTCTCTTTCCCATCCTTCTCCTTCTTCCCTCCTTCTTTTTTTTTGCATTTCCGATCATACAAAGTTCTCCAGACATTATATATTTTTAGCCAAAAAGTGGGGGGCCCGGCTACCGTACTACGTCTTTAACTATAATTTCAGAAAGAGCTTTGCAAATGAAAGACATATTAAATTTTAAATAAAAAAGTGGAGGCAATAATTTTGTTTATAATGTTGACAAAAAATAGTGACAAAGAATATTGTAAAACCTGATTAAAAAGGGACCATTGTCAAACTTGCTCTTAGGTGATCAATTTTAGCAAGATAGGCCTAATTTAATGAGAAATTCCTACTTTACATATTGACTATAGTTTAGTGATTATAATACAGTATACTGTATTTCAATACTCCATTATATTTAGTGAACACGCCTTTGTGTAATAATTCCTGTGCGTGCATACTCATACTGTAATGTAGATTAAATTTAATTCTAATTTAATTTAATTTTAATTTTGTTTTTACATTCTTTAAATGTTCAAATTATTTCATTTGGTTTATTTATGTACTGTATACTGACTGAAAATTCGTTCAAAATGTAACCAGGGCGTTGGCTTGCTTTGCTGCATTCTCGGACCGATGACGTCAGACCTTCGTCGGGTGGTGGGACTGTCTGGGTGCTGGTGGTCTTCCCTCGAACAACATCCAACGACAAGGAGGACGGCTAGCATTCGGCTGGCTGCGTTGCCTGGTGGGGGTCCGGTGGCGTCGGTTCGGGGCGTTGCGGGGTGGGTTACCGTCATGGTTTGCTTTTGCACGACTTTTAAGTCTCTTATTCTTGTTTTGTTTGTAGTTTATTTTAAGTGTTTAATTTGATTGGTGGGTGGGCAATAATGTTATTTGAGTTATCTGTAAATCTCTCATAGTTAAGAATTTAATTTTTTATTTTTGTTGGTTTGTTCTTTTCTGGATGCACCGTTAGAATTTGTCTAACGTGTGTTATGTGTCTAAAAAGTGTTATCCAATAAATAAATATTGTGTCAGCCGCACAGTACGTTTCACCAGGAAAGTGTAATTGCACTGTTCCCTGGTTGCATTATTATTTATTACTTACTCCGACCCTAACTCTGTACTGTAATAGCGTAATTTGAATAATGAATACTTGCATGTGTTGCTTTTATAGCCGGACAAGTCCTCTTCCAATATTTTGTAGTTCGTGTTAGTGTAAACTTTTTAAACAATATTTTAAACTTAATAATCAGTGGCGTAACTACCGCAGGTTCAGCAGGTTCATTGAAACTGGGCACCCGAGTTCCAGGGGTCCCGATCTATAATGTCCCCGCCCCCTTATTAAAAAAATTCAATATGTTATATTGTGACATTTAACTATTGCTTCCTTCAAGCCACGTAATTTTGGAACCACATTAACTCGTTTCCTTTACATCCCGGAAGTTTTAAATTTTCTTCTACTAAAATGATGATTTATTGTCAAAACAATTTGAAATATCATTAAAGCACTTGGATATCATTTCGCGGTCATTAATGGATTCTAGTAGCCAATCATCTGTTAATGTAGATTCACAACGAATCCGAATTCGGTTCGTAGAACGTTTTCGATGCGCGTCTTAGTACGCGTCTCTATTCTTTACCACTGATTCGATTTTCTTTCTTCGTTTCGTTAGCCCTGGTTAGCCATACGAATTCGGATTCGGTGTTACACGGTGAAGTTATAATTGGTCAACATTTATAAGGTCATTTTCATTGAGATATGTAATAATTTGATCTTGGACTTGCTTTTCAACAATTTTAACTAGGGCCTGTGGCATACTACTGAAATTGGTCTATTGTTAAGGCTTTGTTTGTTGCCTTTAACTTTGTTTATGGAGTAGCCACTGAGACTTTCCAATCGTTGGAACCATATACCATTCAATAATAATTTATTTGTAAGGGAACATAGAGATTTCGCGATATAGCGTGATGCGAGCTTTGTAGCCCCTATCGTCAAAATTATGAACATCAAGGTTACTATCGTGTTTATATTTTTTTCAACTGATAAAACCTAATTTGATTTTTAATTTTAATCGTGCATTTGTTTCCAGATGAACGATATTTATTAAAAAGTGTTTGGCTGCCATGTTTATCGGATAAGTGTTTTACATGACCACTGTCATACATAAGTCTAATCATGATATCATGTGTGATCCATTTCAATTTATTTAGATTAAATATAAAACCTATACAGTATACAAGA